TCGGATCACAACATACGAAAGAATTCTTAACGGAAATAAACTTACGAAACGTGCCATAATAAATATATACAACGATGTTTTTTGAACTCATTACGTATATTAAAAATAAGAATGATGGGTAGGAATATACATGTTTTTTTTTTAAAGCATATGAAATTTTTGAAACAGGTTCGAATATGCTTAAGCAAATAGTAAAAAGAGGCTCAAAAATATGCTTTAGCTTAAGCATATTTCTGATAAAATATACCTATTTCAATAATTTCTAAAAGTGTGCACGTTACTAAAATTCTAGCAGATTTTAAAGGTATGTAGAGTCCTGTTTGAATACGCTTTTCAAAGTATAGATCATAGAAAATTTTGTTTTTTAATTTTAATAAGATATAAATTTGAGTATAAGATTGTATAGTTCAATCAGTTAGATACGTGATAATTCGCCGCAGAGATCCGGGTTCGCATCCCGCAGCCATTGTAACTTTTGTTCATCAAACTCTTTTTACTTAAGATAGCATTTTTTGACCTCCATGTTCTATATTACAGATCTTTCGTCGCCTTCACAATAGTGACAACCTCTCTTCTGTTAGTTATTCTTTTAAGATTGAGTTCATTGTGCTTAATTCAACACGTTTCCCTTGCTTTACTAAGTTCTACTTAAATTATGATGAAATGTACGTAAAACAACTTTTTCAAATAATATAAATCATTTTGCTTTAAATCTTGTGCTTTTTGTACTAGATATCTGTCCTAAATACTTTGTAATAATTTCTAGCTAACTCTGAGTCTAATATAACCATTTCTGAATATAATTTCCCTGAGGCTCCTACAGCCTATTGTGTTCCATTAAAAGTAACTAGTTTTTGAGTTCAGATATTAATTATAAGCATCTAAAGGTTCACATTACTATTCATTTTCCTGATATATAGAATCCTATTTGCATACGTATCTCTTTCTGTAAATTCTGTTTTATATAGTTTCAAATTATATATTAAATAAATATTACTATTCTCTTAGTTGAATGAACGTATAGCTCATTCAGTTAAGACATTTTGCCGCGTAGACCCAGGTTCACATCCCGCTGTTTCACATATATTTCTTCTCTTTTTACTCTTTCTGATATCATTTACCTTTAGAGAGATTTCTCGTTCTTTATAATAAAGTATTTAATTGTTTATCACACATCCTCTTTATACTTTTTAAAAAGAAAGGCATACTGTTTATCTATTCATTGAGAATCCAACTTAACGGGATTTTACTGTATATATAAGTATATATTTATATATATATATATATATAAATATATATATATATATATATATATATATGTATAAATATATATATATATATATATATATATATATATATATATATATATATATGAATATATATATATAAATATATATATATATATATATATATATATATATATATATATATATATATATATATATATATATATATATATATATATATATATATATATATATACATATATATACAGTAAAATCCCGTTAATGTATATATATATATATATATATATATATATATATATATATATATATATATATATATATATATATATATTAGGTATATTTGTATAAACATTTGAAGAATCATTTGACAACATTTTTTTATAATTTTATTATTTATTATTTAAACTGTTAACAGTTAATATCTTAAATATATCGTAACATAAAATCTTTTGCGTCTTTTTCGTAACTACACATTCCGGAATGCTTTTTCCGTAAGGAACTATTTCGTAAGTATTCTAACGAAATGATTTGTTTCGCAAGTTTTCTTTCGCAATGCTTTATTACGGAATTTTATTTATTTATATTTTCGTATAGCGCGTTACGGAATGTGCATTTTCGCATGTGCAACTTCCGTAATAACAATTCTATTACGGTAGATAAATATTATATATTTATTCTTTTAAACACCCAATAATTACATAAACTATAGGTAAAAGTATTAAAAAAAAAAAAAACAAAGCACATTTAAGTATTTTCTTGCATCGTTCTTGGAATGTTTTCCTCCATCAGCGTTCTAAATACTTCTCTTTGTTCCTTTAAATTCCAGTGTTGGAACGATTGTTTTAAGATCGCCGCAACATTGGCCTCCAATGCTTCCTGAGGGCGTGCAATTATAATTTTCTTACCCTCGATCATAAATTGGAGCATGTTTATATCAGCTTTCTTACACATTATCATTACCTCACCCACAAATGATCGTTGATTCATTAAAGGCATCTGAGTCCGTATAATCGAGTAACATATGGGGTTGTTTAAAAGCCTGATAAATAGATTTAACTTGTTGCGAAAAAGAATGTCTGACACAGCGTCTACTTTGAAATAAGAATGTAGATAATTTCTACTTTGCTTTGAAATATTAAAGAAAGATTTTAAGACAGATCGTCCAGCTATATCAATGCTATTTAGAAACTTATTGCTGCTTCCACACAGTTCTAATCCGTATAACAACGTTGGAACAGCTAAAGCATTAAATAAATGAACTATGGTAGCAGGCTGGCAAAAGCGAAGTCCATTTCTTATGAGACCTTTTGCAACAGATAAAAATTGCGTTACACGTTCAGTTATATTTTGTTTTTGGAGTGTTGCTGTCATTTTTTTGTTCTTATTATCCCAAAGGAAACCAAGATGTTTTAGATTGTTTTGAGGCTTGATAGGATCACCGTTAATATAAATAACGTTAATTAAAATCAAACTTATTCCAGATATTAGAAATTCAGTTTTTTCTGTATTCAGTTTAATAAAGTTCGATAGTCCATACTTTTGAACAATGTTAATAAGGCTCTGAAGACCAGATATAGTGGAACTTTGTAAAACTATATCATCAGCATATGCAATGATACCTGTGTATACACCATTTATTGAAGTTCCAACTTTTGATTCTGAAACAATTTTCTCTAGAAGGTTCTCTGTGTAGATATTGTAGAGATGAGGCGACAGTATGGATCCTTGACGCACTCCCTGAGACAGCCTAAATTTGTTTGATGTACATCCAAGATATGATATATTAGAAGTTCCTGTTTGATATAGTGATAATATTGTATGAACTATAGATAATGGGATTTTTTTCTGGTAATAGAGTTTCTCGAATAGTAATTCCCAATTACAACTGTCAAAAGCTTTGTTGGCGTCTAGACTGCATATATATAGCGGTGAGTTATTATGATTATAGTGCTTTATTGTTTCACTCAGAAGAAATTCTGCGTGGAGGGTAGAGCTGTTTTCTTTAAAACCGAATTGATGGGAATGACTTTCTGTTATATCTGGACATATGTGTATGATAAGATATTCGAGAAGTTTTGTAAAAATTGGTATAATGCTGATTCCTCGATAGTTATTTGGATTTTCTAGTGATGTTTTATAAGACTTGACTAATGGGATAATTTTGGCGGTTGATAAACCGTGTGGAACCTTTCCATTTGTTAACATATTGTTATAAAACGACGAAAGTAAAATAAGAAGATTCTTGTTGTGAGAGTTTTTAAGATGTTCAGCACTGATTTCATAGCAATCGTAAGATTTATTATTTTTAAGCTTTAAAATACATTTTTCAATATCAGCTGTCGAGATAACTTTTGAATTAGGCTCTTTACTTAAATGTGGAATTTGGAGAGGATTGAACTCGTTATTTGTATATTGCGGTGTATTAAGTAGTTTTTGGAAATGATGACTAAATTCTTCGACGATTTCGTTTTTGTTCTGCAATTTATTAATTGTAAAGAGTCGATTGTTAGTATTTTTTTTGATTTTTCGAATATTACCCCAAAACCTTTGAGGATTTGTATTGCGTAAGTGTTCTATATTTTTAGTTTTTTCGTGAATTTTTTTGTTATGTGCCGCTTTTACAGCTTTACGAAAGTTTTTTCGGGAATAAATAAATCTTTTGTAGGATATACATTCTGTTGACTTATTATAGCCTGATTTTTGCCATTGTCTAAAGTGAAAGGAGAGATTATCTTTAATTTTTTTAAGCTCAGGTGTCCACCAAGGTTTCGAGTACTTATAAAATTCTTTTTGTCCGAAACATTGTTTAACTGCCAAGAGAGCTGCATTTTTTATATATAAGCATGTTTTTTGAATTTCTTCTTCTATTTTATCTTCCTTAAATGCGTAACTAGTAAATGCTTTTGATAGATTGAGATTATAAGAGTCAATAAACCTTTCGTTATTCCATGCATGTTTTGGTATTGAATTATATTTTTGCATTATATTATTTATTTCGTGTGATAAAGATGTGTGATAAAGATGTGATAAAGATGCGAAATTTTCGCAAGTTTTGTTTTTCGGCGAACAACCCTAGTGCAAATTGATCTGTATATAACTGATAACCAAAGTAAAAATGAAAAAAAAAAAAGACTCATTTTTCAAAACAATCGGCATCGGCCAATGATTATCCAGGCCGATGCCGATTGTTTTGAAAAATCAGTCTTTTTGATTTTGTGTTTCTATATTGTATAAAAAAATATAATTATTTTATTTTTTTATACAATATAGAAACACAAAATTAAAAAATGTGACTTTTTTAAACAATTGGCATTGGCCGATGGTTACCAAGACCGATGCCGAGGCCGATGCATCGGTGCACCCCTAATATTTATATATATATATATATATATATATATATATATATATATATATATATATATATATATATATATATATATATACATATATATATATATATATATATATATATATACATATATATATATATATATATATATATATATATATATATATATATATATATATATATATATATATATACACATATATAAACAAATGTAAACATTCATATATAAACATACATAGGAAAAGTTTGTATAAAAAGTTAAGTAATATTTTTTTACTTATATGTTTGAAATCCCTTTAAAAATATTTAAAATACTCTCTATTTTAATGCATCAATTTTTATTCCATTAAGGCTACGGTTATTTTTTTTATATTTTAATTTGTCTAAATGTGTTTGTTGTTTAGGTTTGCTTCAGAATAATTATTCAACCAGTGAAAATGTTATAAATTTTAAGAAGACAAATTCTATAAAAAATGAAAATAGTTTAAGAAAACATGAGAAATTACTAACAGACTTGAACAATATTAAATTACAAACAATAGTAAATGGCCAAAATGGTACAAAACGGAATTTAGTAGATCATTTTGACCAACTAGAAGTTTCTGATATAGGAAAACCATATGGTGATCCTGATGACTATCAAAGAATTGGTGATGATATATACATTATTCGTGGGGATGAAAGAAAATCCTCGGTTAGAGATGTTAAAACAATTAAGGAAGCTTTACCAGATACAGAAAAGTCGCTAACAGCGATTATTGGACACCTTAACAAAGAAGATCGAGAACTATTAAATGAAAAGAGTAGCAAAAGTCAAGACATTCTTTCAGATGAACTTTTTGCAACACAAAAAACTGATGAAGTTACATTTTCTCCTAATATTGAAAATATCTCTGGTCCTGAATTAAATTTATTAGGTAAAAAAGCAAGTTTTTTTTCATTTTGATTTTTAAAGGGAATCAATGAGTTTGGCTATTTTATTTTTAATTTTAATTACAATTTTCAGGGGATCTCCAATCAAGTTTAAAACAGCATGACAACAATACTACACTAACAATTAACAACATATTGGACGAAGAATCTAAAAGGAAAGAATTAGAAGACGAGCAATTAGAAAAAGGTCTTGCTTCTATAACAAAAGCGGTTGAAAATCGAGATAAAGAGTTCATAAAAAATGATCCTTATGCTGTCGATCCCAAGAAAGTAAAGGAAATGTTAACTTCTGCCGGTATGTTTTTTAAAAAAGATCAAACTCAAACATCTGATGATCAAAATTTAATTGGTAATGATGATGAGGCTGATCATCATCATGATGAGAATTATGTTAATCCTGAAATTGTTGTTGGAGGTAGTCGAAGTCATGCAAAAAAACGAAGACACAAACATAAACTTTATCATCGTCGCCATAAAAAACACAAAAGTAGCAACATAAATTTAAAACAAGATAACACTAGAATAAAACAATACAACATGAACCAAGAATACGAAAATAAAATAAATGACTTGAAAGAAGAGCTCAAAAAGGGTAAGAAAACAGAATCAATGCTTCAAGACAACCAATTGGATACCGGTTTTTTTATTGCTGAAGATAGTGATATTGCTAATTTAAACAGAAGAACTGAAGATTTTGTTGATAAAACTGTCAATGCTACAGTTGTAAAAATTATTGTAGCCAGTCAAAATAAAACAGAGGATGTAGAAAATAGAAAAGAAACTAACCAAAATGTAAAGGATGATCTAAAAAATGCAACTGAGTCTAGCCAGAATATAACTGAATATGTAAAAAATGCAACAGAGGCCAACCAGAATGTAACAAGTAACAAAAGTAAGTTCGATAATAAAGGAAATCAAAGTTTTTTAGAAGTCCAGTTAAACTCAATTACACCAGACTCTATGTTCAAAAATAAAACATATTCAACAACAACAGACAATTTGTTCAAAAATAAAACAAATTCAACTCAAATAAAGCACTCTGCGTATTTGAGTTTGGAAGATTTAGATTCTGAAAGTCTATACAATATTCTGAAGGATAAATCTGCTCAAACTAATGTTGGAAATTATTTGAAAAGTTATAAAACCACACATGTGGTTGACATGGAGGGAAAACCTGGAGTGCAAATTGATCTCTATATAACTGATAACAAAAGTAAAAATGAAAAAAAAAAGCGTCGAACTGTTCGAAGCAAAACTAATACACCTGAAAAAGTTGTTGAAATGCAAGGCCAAAAGAAGTTCTTCCAACCTACTATTTATGACAATAATATCGAAGATGTTGCTTTGAGTGATGCAATGCCTGATCGACATACATTTACTTCAGAAAATCCTACAACTGCATCAAGTGAAAAATTGGACATTACTGATCATATAGGTAATTGGATTTAGAGACTGACAGTATTCAACGTGTTGAAAACCTTGAATCTGTGCCACTATCATTAGACTGTTTGAAGCTCTTTTTATTAGTTCTTAAAAAGAGAAGATCTTTTTTGGGAAAAAAAAATTGGATAATTTGTGAAAATCTATTTGATTATAAAAAATGATGTCCTAAAAATACATCATTTTGTAATTATTTGGTTCATTATAGGGCATTTCCAAAAGATCATGCACAGAAACTCATATATGTATGTCTATTGTGTTCATAATAATATAACTGGCAATTATATTATTATGTATACTAGAATTACTCTCATTTAGTTCTATTTTATATAAATACTTTGCTAACAAAGAATGTTATGCATTAGTGATGTTATCAAAGAATAAATTAAGTTTAAAATGAATCATGCACGTAACAGAAAAAATGCAAATTTTAGTTACTAGATAAATATAAAAATATAAGTTTTATATATTATTAAAGATTTTTCAAAAGATACAGAGTCATAGCAATCTTTTAAATGCTGTTCACATAAGATCACGCATAGAAGTCATGCACAGAAATTAAAATTTTGTATGAATCATGCTGTTAATTTTAAAGATTATATCATTATAAATCATATATAATATATTTTCAATGTGAAGTAGCAGTCATTAAATATTTCTAGCCAGAGTATAACTTTTTGAAAACCAGTATATATTTTTCAAACATATTGCAACATAAACACACAAAATACATGATAAAGATATTTTTGTTATAGTTATTCTTTATGGTAATCATAATAGAATGCATATTGCTTCAATCCTAGCCCAACCAGTATAAATACGATGAAAAAGAAAAAGTCACGCACAGAAATGGAAATGCCCTATATAATTTCACTTTTGGTTTCATTTTTTAAATTGATGTTGTTTATTATAAATATTTGTTCATTTTTTGTTTTGTTTCTTCTGCATCATTATTCTTGAATAGATATTTTATAAAAATGTTATTTGGATGCGATGAATCAAAAATTTTATCATTTCTTGTTAGGTAATGTTCCTAAAAAAAGCAATGACTTGCAAGATGAACTTAACAATGAGGATTTAAAACACGCTGTAGAAGATTCCGACTTGAAAGGCTTTGATGCAATTAAAAATGAAATTGCTCTGCAAGATGCTAAAACTACTGTGGATTTTTTTAACCAGCCTAGCTCTGCAAAACTTCTTTCATCACATCTTTCTTCGGGAAATATAAATGATCTGTCACAAGATATCAAAGATGATAATGTTAAAATGGATGATGATCCTCAAAAAGTAAAAATAATTCTACACATTCCTGAATCTGCCTCAAAAGAAAAAGGGGGAGATTGGAACACGCAAGAGGCGTTAGATATCTTTACAGAGCAAGCTAAAGCTTATCTAAACGATGAAGGTGAAAAAGATATTTTGATTAATGTTGAATTTTCTTCAAAAAAAATGCCTACACATATTTCTAATCAGTTTTTCCACAGAAAAAGTGTTTTTAGTTTAAGCCAAAAACACTGTGATATGTTTTGTAGAAATATTGTAGAGCATCTTTGAATTGTATATGCTTCTTTTGAAAAAGGATAAAACATTGTTTAGTGTTTTTTGCTTTTTCAGAAATGCTGTAGAGCATCTTTAAATTTTAAACATCGTTTAGTTTTATATTTTTTATTTTTTAAAGACTTGCTTAAATAGTTTTAAATTTTTTTTATTAATAAAATCAAAATTATTTTTGATTAACATTCTAGTTTTTTTTTATTCATTTACAATGTTTATATAAATAGGCGAGAAAAAAGCTGAAGGCTCTTCTTCTATAAAGTCTGATTCTGAGGATGATGCGACGCTGCTTACAGCCAAAAAAATAGAAGCTTTATTAAGAGAAAATGCTATAAAAGAAGAAGAATTAAAAAGAAATGAAAGAATTAAGCTTTTTACTGCTCTTCATAATGGTATTGGAAAAAATGATAATGAAAAAGCGCACTTTTTAAATGTTTTAGAGAATAGTTATGCAGGTTCATCATCAGAACTTGCAAATATTAGTAAGTTTATAAACTTAGGTACTTTAAAAAATTCTCAATCCTCAGAAAAACAAGATGATGCAAATAAAATGACTAAGGGTGTTACCACATTTTCTAATCAAAAACAATTGCCTATATCATCACCATTATTGGAGCTTATTAAATCAGAACTCCATTCTGGTTCTCATGAAAGTGTTCATAAAGAAGCTACTTCTCCTTACACTGTTCAGTCAATGTTTAATGATCCGTCTGTCAAATTAGTAAATCCTTCTCCTGATTTACCTACTAATCCTGCAACTATAAAGTTTAATGCCCCTGGAGTAGAAACACCACTTAGAATAAATGGAGGAAAAGTTATCGGTGGAAATGTGCGTGGAGGTAATGTTATTGGAGGTGTGATATCTGGGGGAGACTTTTCTGGTGGAGAAATTCAGGGAGGAAAAATTGAAGGAGGAACATTTAAAAATGGGTTAATGATAGATGGTGTTGTAAAGAATGGAGTTGTTGAAGGAGGAAAAATTAAGGGTGGTTTAATTCTTGGTGGTGATATCAAGTCTGGACTAATAGAAGGTGGGACTGTAAAAGGTGGTATCATAGATGGTGGTACTTTAGTTGATGGTGTTATTGAAGGAGGAATCTTCAAGGGAGGGACTATACTTGGTGGAAGGTTAGTTGCAGGAGAAATGGATGGAGGTGTCCTAAAAAATGGTACCATCAGTGGTGGGGTTATGAAAGGAGGCATTATTGAGAGTGGAGTTTTAGAAGGCGGGACAATGCTATCAGGAATATTGCGTGGTGGCATTGTTAAGTCTGGAATAATTAATGGGGGGACCATTGATAAAGGAGTTATTGTACAAGATAATGCTGAGATTGGTCCGGGTGTTGAAATTCATGAAGGTGTTGTGAAAGGTGGGAAAATATCAGTCAATATTGTTCCTCAAGTTTCTAGTCCTCCAACACTGCCAAATCCGGCAACTACAGTGAAATCTAATATGTTTAGCGTAGAGGTTGTATCAAAACAGTTGGATGATCACAAAGAGGAAAAAAAGGAAGTTGTAGACTTTAAAAAACCACCAGAAGTTCACAATCATGAAGACACTGAAAAGCCAAAAAAGAATGTTCCAATTCCAACAAAAAAACCAATGGAAACGCATGTGAAACACAGTAGTGCAGCTCCGACATTAAGACCAAAACAATCGTATAGACCTACAGAATATTTGACAAAGTCTAAATCTACTCAATCATATAGAACTGCTGTGAAGAAAACAAATCACCCTTCTTTTTCAGGTAAAAAGAAATTAATACAAAAAGCACTTTTGTATAACAAAGATAATCCCAAAGAAAGAAAAGAAATTAACTTAAACAACATAAATGATGTAAAACAGTTGCTAGCCATTTTAGAAAAAGGTTCAACAAATAGCGAGAAAAGAAAGGTACAACCCATTGAAACTTCTAAAAGCGATGAATTAAAAAAAAAAGAAGAACTTCTAAAAAAAACTCAGTTAACTATTCCACGAATACGAGAAGAGCAAGGTTAAATTTATTTTAAATGATGTTTACATTTCTATGTAAGAAAAAACACTTTTTTCTGTAGACTGTTTTAGTTTATTTAATTGTGTTTAGCATTTTATTTTATTGTCAATAGCATTTGCACATTGGAGTCTAACAAAAATATCAAAAAATTTAATTGAAGGAGATTTTGGTCCTAGTCTACATATTTATGGAGGAGTGTCAATACATAATGGTCATGCAATATTAGATGGCATTCATGGATACCTTGATGCTGGTGACTATCAAGGAGAATGTTTTAGCGGTAAGTTTGTTTTTAGGGAGATGGAATAAATATATAATAATTAAAACGTGTTTAATAAAATACAAGAAAGTTGATTTTTTTGGTGTAGGTATTTTATAGAGCTTTAATGATTCTTTTCTGTCGAATTTTATTGAATCACTTTTCCGTTGATTGGAATGAATAATTTATTTCTAGATCCAGAAGTGTGTGAAACTGGTTTTACAATCCAAATGACAGTCAAAGTTTACAGAGATAGTGTTTTTAACAAAACAAAACTATTTTTATTGGATTCAGGTGCAACAAGCACAGATTCAAGAGGAATAAGTATATTTGTTCAGGATGGTAGAATTGAAGCAATGGTATCCACAAGAGATACTGTTTGGTGTCTTCGAAAAATATTAGAACCCTACATTGAAAAATGGATTTCTCTGACACTTACATGGAGAAATGATAAAGGTAATTAATGTTCAATAAAGTAAAAGAGTGATAACAGAGGGCAGGTTTTCTTTTGAAATCTTATTTTTCTTTTTCTTTATTTGACTATAAATTATAATTTGACTTTTTTTTCAAAGTTTCCAAAAGTCTGATACTCTAATTATAATTTTTATTTTTGCTTATAATTTTTGCATTTATGAATTTTTATCTGTTATTGACTGATAGCAGAACAAGTTCATAACAAGAAGACTAAAGTTCCAAATGGATAACCTTAGATTTTAATAAAACTTGTTAGGTACACTAATGAGATAAAGCAGGTTCTGAAAATTTATGCTTTACAATTTAAAGTTGTAATAGTTACCTAAAATTTAGTAAATATAGCTTTTAGGACAAGACACTAGCAGTTGTTAAAAAACCTTTCAAAGTTTAAAACCTATTGAACAAAGTGATGAGAGACACCATCTATTTGATATAGTAAAGAAATTTTGAAAATTATTTTTGATCTTGTATTTTATGATCTTGTATTTTATGATCTTGTATTTTATTTCTGACATTCCTTTATTGCAAGTTTTTTTGCTTTTATGAACAAAACAATGAAATTAATGTTTCATTTGTATTCATATAAGTTTTATTTAATTAGATTTGATAGATTTTTCAAATAGATCTTAAAAGATCAACTAATCTTGATTTCTTTTCTATTGTTCTATTTCCTAAAATGTCTATATTATGAGCTTGAAATTTAGGAGGGATCCGTATTGAAATAGGAAAACCCTCACTTAATACACAATCAAAATCATGCAACATTACTTTATCAATATAATTTCTCAATTATCTTACCTTTTATTCTATTTCCTAGTATATATTTTTTTTATTACTTCACACCTTTTATATAATCATTTGTGAAATTTTTTGATAATTACTTATTTTATAAAAGTGTAACCATAGTAACTATTGTAAAAGTTAACAAAATTTTAATGTAGCCAAAAAAATGTTAATATACAGAAATTGTAACTATTTTTTTCATACCTAAAATTGTCAATTGAATCTGTTCTTTAAAAGGGCTGGTTTGACATTTTTGGCAAAACCAATTTTTTTAATGATTTGTAGTTCATCAAAGAACACTAATGATAGTGTTCTTTAATAATATCTTTATCAGTTTCCTTGAAAAGATTGTTTAAATCTCATCTTCTTATACATGTGAAGCAGCTAAGAACTTTGTTTTTTTTATTAAAAAGGTACATTTGCTTCAAATATGCCTTTAAAAAAAAAATTAATTTTCTCTGTGGCTTAAAAATCAACTATTTGCCACAGTTGTTGCTGTCAAATTTGCATTTTTTTTTTTAAATATGATAAATAGTTTTATCATGAAGGATCCTGATATTCCCATCATGAAGGATCCTGATATTCCCATCATGAAGGATCCCAGTCCGAAAAAAATGAAAGAAAGTAAGTACAAACATAACAAGCTCTTTTAATGTGACTAGCATACACCAATCACAAGGAAAATAAAGTTTTACCAAAGTACCCTGAGTTTACTTGCAGGTAAAGTTCAATTTTTCAATACATCTAGATCATTTTGAATAAATAATGCATTAAATGAATGTTGATTATTTCAAAATATTATCATAGCATTATTCAAAAAACCTTGGCCAGGTACTCTTTTTGGTTTATACCTAGCTTACTTCTTACTTGTATCTAGTATTCCTGCTCTAATCCTAAGTATAAGCCAGCAAATATTTAGAGTAGGTTAGTCTAAGTATTTGCTCAAGCTCAAAAAAGTTTACTGTGAAAGAAATAGTAGGTGCAACTGAATTGGAGCTCCAAACATGGCAAAAAGTCTTGTGTTTCTGTAGAAATACAAGAATTTTGGTACCGCAAAAAAAAGAAAGGTTCATTTTTCTATTTGTAACCTATTTTATTTTGTATATGATCATGATAAATAAGCCTTCATCAAGGCCTTCGCCAATATGAATGACTTAGTCGGTCATACATTTTTTATGGCTAAACATACTGGTGTTGTACCACGGGTAAATAGTTTGGTTCACATAAGTAGGAAGGTTGCACTTAAAAAAGGTGGTGGAAAAGAGGTGAAGGTGAAAGACCTTACTAAATTAAAAGAATTTATTTCTGAAGAATTTAATGAGTTTTACAACAAGTTTCTGGCCAACTACCAAGGGTAAAGATTTCCCTGATGGTGACTGATGGTGACTGAGGAAGACTAGAAATAAAAAGCTTGAACCTAATGCTTATTAATAGCAATATTAGTCATTACTTTATATTTATGTATTATATTGATTTTTTATGTTAAAACATTGTTTTAAAGTTGTGTTTCTAAAAGAGTTTAAATTTTTTGAAATTTGAAATATTAATTTTTAACTAACCAAAAGTTATATAATTTATCAAAGTGCACTAAGATATTAATCTTGCATGCATAATTTAGAAATAAATTACAAAAGTCCTGTATGTTTATTAGAAAAAGAAAGAAGTTTTTTTTAGTTTTCTTAAAAAATGGCTTTTAAGAAAATCCCTCTTTTAAAAAAAACAGAATCAATTGTTATTAATGAAACATGTTGTTTAAAAATTTTAAACAGATTTTTATCTATTTAAAAATTATTACTCAATAGAAGCAGTCATAAATAGCGCATATGCTCCTGGCTTATTTTTGAGCTAGGAGCTAGGGTTTAAGAGATGATTGCTTGAACTTTAATGCTCATTACACCGAATGACTTGGTTCTAGTGTCAGTGACACTGCAAGCATTAAGGCCCACAACTTTTTCTTTTCTCAATCTTGAACACAAATAGTCAACTTTTTAACTTCCTTTCCTGATAATTTCAATTTTATTCACTTTCTCTACTCAACTTGTCTTGTTTCTGATCCTAGTCAATGCTCAATTAATCCACATTAACCCTTATAAGCTTTTTTTTTTTTCTAAGTGCTCCAAAAATTTTTGTCTAGTTTTTCTCCCTCAAACATCAGTTTTTTGAATTTGCTCCCTTCATCTTGTTTTCCTGATTCATATAAATTGCGATCTTTTAAGTCATCTGTTAATCGCTATCTTGCTTTACAAACTTTATGTAGAACGTCCCTGATAATAGCTTTTTCAAAGATTTTTTTGCTTTCAGAAACATGTCACAGAAATTTGAACTAATACACTAACTTGGAAAAAAAAACTTGATTAAGTTATAAAACTTTGAATAAATGTTTTTTCAAAGAGACTTAGTATAAAACTTAAAAAGTTCAAAAAAGCTTCAAAATATTTTTATTTATGTAAAAAATTTCTTTTATGAATTCAATTTTTCTTGACTATCTGATAGAGTTAAGCAGCATCCATAGTTTTTATTTTTAATATTTTTTCTGTTATTACTGTCCTGTCCATTCCTCATCAATTATTCAAAACCTTACTTTTATTTGCTCTTATTCATGACATTTTCTTTATTCATTTTATTTTTATTTGAATAAGTATTTTGGTTTGATACTTACATTTACATACATATGTAAATTGTAAATTAATTACATTGTAAATTACATACATTGTAAATTATGTACATAGGTACATTGTAAGTTTAAAGCAACTTTCCTCTAGGAGTTCTTTTTACAACTTTTTTGCTTGAAAAACAGTTGTGTTGTCCAAATTTTCATACTAAAAATTTTAAAATATAATAAAGCCTTCAGGTCAAAAATATGTTTTTATGTATTTTTAATCATTATGTCAAGTATACAACTATCTACTAAATGCAAATTTGTAATTTACATTAAAAATATTTCATCTTATATATAGAAATGATAAAAATAGTTTACATAAGATATTGAATGTCTAGGACTTAAATTTTTTTAAAAATTTAAGTCCTTTTAAAAATTATTTAAAGTTTTTGATCATTTTTTTGTCTTTGAGTGTGAAGAAAACATCAGTGTTGAGTTAGGAAAAAAATAAACACAATTTTTGAAGTATAAGTTCATGTTGTTAATCAGCAACGCAACATATCAGTCCGGCTTTCTAATTGTTTGTTTACAAAATTTTTGCCACAAAACTCTAAAATGACTGCTTAAATGATTTGCTTAAGTAAATAATAGATAAGAATTAAAAAATAAAAATTTAAAAATGAAAAAAAAAAAAGTAAACCTCATCCTCTCAATGGTTAGTTATACAATCATGTGAAATATTTAAAAGTTAAACTAGTTTAGCAGCTTATACATCAACACTAAATGCTAAATTTTTAGAACATTTTTAGAACAAAATTTTTAAAAGCAAATGAGAGTAAAGTACATTTTTGACATCAAGTTATAGGTTTTTCTTTTGACTTTAAAAGCTGTTAAAAGCATTTTCTATTTTTTTTTTTTTTTTTATTTAACTTATATTTTGAAACATGTTTTGAAACAAAAGGCAATATATTTTTAGCAAAAGTTTTTTTTTTTCTTGTTTTAAGTTTTATAAGTCAATATTTACTTCATTAAAATTCTGCAGAAAACTCTGTCTTTATATAAATATACAAAAGTTTATATAAATATTAATATAAATATAAATATTTTTTGTTTCTATAGGTTTGCTTCTTTACATTAGCTGTGCCTTATTTGTTAAGTTATTTTTCTTCTATAGGTTTGTTTCTTTACATTAACTGTGCCTTATTTGATAAATCTAACTCACATACACCAAATGATTGCGAAAATTGCCAAAATTGTCATAAAACGGATCGAGCAACACGTATGTTCTTTGGTCGACCAAATAAAGGACCACATTTCAAAGTCACTCATATGGCTCTTGGAGAAGTTAGTTTGTATAATACCTTTTCTGACAAGCAAGATGTTGAAATGATTTGTGGAGCAAAAAATAGTAAATGTTTTGGTTATATAAGTTTATAATTTTCATTTTAAAAGATTGAAATCTAAATTTTTGATTATTAAGCATAAATAAGGTGAAATCAAAAAGTTATTCTTTAATGAGTATACCCCTCACACTTTTTTTGTGTTAGACATCACCAAATACTAAGTAATGAGTTTGCTGTAACTTTTTATATTAATAATTTATACTTATATTTTAAATTCAAGTATAAATTATTAAATTATATGTAAATGTATAATATATATAAATAAATAATAAGTTTTATATGTATTTATTAAGAAGTTTAGTCTTAAAAGAAACTTCAAACATATGTTAGTGTTTGACACATGTTAGTAACAATGTTTTCCTTTGTGGCAATAATTTTCCTAATGACAATGATTTCCTTAGTGACAATGGTTTTACTCTTTTTTTAGGTTGATATTTTATAAAAGCTAACTTATTATGTGCTTTATTTTTTATTAGGAAATTAAATATTATATGGTTTAAAATAAGCATGAATACTTTATAACAGTGAAAAGGGCATTTAATTTCTTTATTTTTTGGTTATTTTTTTTTTAATTAATAAAATTCGAAAACATTTTTATTAATTTAATAAAACTTAATTTCATTTTTAAAATTTTTTTTGTTTTTATTCAAAAAAAAATTCATTCTAAACATATTGTTAAAGATTTACAATTTAATTTTCAAAGATAATGTAATTTAAGAAAACTTGATTTCATTTTCATTTTAGGTTTTTTAAATTTAAAAGTTAGATTTAATATTATATTTATATTAAAGTTTAATTTTTAAGATATTTATCATTTATAATAGTTTTTTTTATTTCCTATAGACCAAGATTTAACAGCTTCCACTAATATATATCAATATACTCCTTCACAATATTTGGCTCCACCTCAATATATTGCTCCACCACAATATGTTGCTCCCCCACAATATATTGCTTCTCCACAATATATTGCTCCTTCACAATATATGACTTCTTCACAGTATACACTCCCATCAATTCTTCATAATCAACCTGTGGAACCTGTTCCACAAACTAATCCAGTTTTATATAAACCACAACCAGCATTATTTATCAGTCCTCCTCAATATTCTTCTCATGTAAAACCTTCAAAAATCGATAATCCTCCAGAGTGGTTAAAACCAACTTTGAAAAAAAAGAATCACAAGAACTATGAATCAAGAATGTTAAATCCTTGGCCAACACCAGCTAATCTAATCCCTGTAAAAAAGACAACATTATCAGCAGTTAAACATCCTTTAATTGATTATAATGCAGATAGAAGATCATTTTCAAGATTAGGTGACTTTTTTTTTAATTTATTTTTTATATTTTGTTCTTTTACAAACTTTTTTGAAGTAAAATACCAATCATTTTTTAACATTAAGCAAACATAAATAAAGTAAGCAACCATAAAAACCACATTTTAATACTATTTATCCAGTCAAGTAATTGGTTTATTAATAAATATGTTACTGATCATATAAATGTTGTTTTCCTAAAAGTTCAATTAAAATTTTCATTTTTTTTAATTAAATAATTTTTTTTTTTAACTAAATAATTTTTTTTTTTATCCAATAAAAAACTTAACTAAATATAAAATAACAATTTAACTATATATAATAAATTTTTTTTATTTTTACATTTATTTAAATGTAAAATATAAATATTAAATGTTAGGTATAAACCAGAACTTTCTTCAATTCTATCTATATATAAATCTAATCTATTTAATAAGTGCTTCGCTTAATCTTGTTTTCCTACTTGCATGAGAATGGCATCTGTGGTTCCAATTTTAAAACCTCTGGAAAAAATTCTGACTCCTCTAACTATTGTCCAATCAGTGTTCTTTCTGTTATTAGCAAAGTCTTTGAGTCTTTGATCAAGTCAAAGACTCAAAAAACAAACAAGACTGCTAATAACAACTAATTTTGATCTTCATATGGTGTATCTGGGAAAGTTTTTGAGATTATCAAATCATTTCTTTCTATCTGCTTTATTAAATTCATCTTTGAAGGCCGACACTCTTCTTCATTTCCAGTAACTTCTGGGGTACCTCAAGGTTCTATCCTTAGTCCTATTTTGTTTCTTATCTACATTAATGATCTTCCTGACAATCTTATATTTAAAGTAGCTCTTTTTGTTGGTGACTCAACTTAATACTCCTGTCTTATAAAAAAGTTTTCTCTTTTTGATCGCTTATAACAGATCTTAAATCTCATCTCACTTCTGTTGCTTTAAAATTAAAGCTCAGTAATTTACTGCAAACAATTATTGCAGTATTTTTTACTATTGACCTTTAGTGGAAACTATACATTCAATCGATTGCAAATTAGCATCCACTAAGGCTGTTTCTCTTTATCATGGTTACCATTCTCTTACTCCTGATTCCATTATTTACCTATGCAAATCTCTTATTTGTCTCTGTTTGGAATACTGTTGTCATATTTGAGATGGTTCTTCTAATGATGGTCTGTCTCTTTTAAACAAAGTCCAAATGTAGTTGGACTTGTTCTATCTATTAAGCTTGAGCTTCTTCCTCATCATCCTAAAATCTCTTATCTACAAATATTATCATGGTCTCTGCTCAAAGGAGTTATTATTTCTAGTTCCATCAACTAAAACTCATCCTTTATTGACTTGTCATTCAGCAAGTCTCATTGGTTTACTGTATCTGTTCCTTTATGCTTTAAAAACGTTTTTTTGCCTAGTTTTTTTCCCTGCACTTTAATCCTTTATAACTTTCTCCCATCTTCATGTTTTACTGACTCATACAACCTACAACTTTTCAAGTCTTCTGTTAATTGTTTCTTTGCTCTATAACTCTCTTCTTTTTTTTTCTAGTAGTTTTCCTCCCAACTTAATAGCTGTTACTTGCAACCTTGTTGGGAGTGAATCAGAAAATATATATACAGTATTGGACAAAACATTTGCAACCAACATCGAGCAATGCTAAAAAGTGTTCCTAATTTTACATGTCCTAAAAACAAAACAAACTATACTACCACAGCAAACAGTTCAAGAGTCTGGAGTCATAGCATGCCATGACATGACCAATCAGCTGACAGGTGATAGCACACAGGCCAAATTTTGTTGACAAGTGTGGACAAAACAAGAGCAACTTTTTTGTTTTGTTTTATTTTCTTAAGTCTGGTCCGTGTCAATGTCACAGAAGTTTTTATATAGTTAAAGGAAGTATCCAGAAATTTCCAGAAATTTCCAGAAGCATGCAGAAGCTTCCAGAAGTTTTCAGAAGAAGCATCTGGAAGCATCCAGAAGCATCCAGAAGTATCCAGAAACATTCAGAAGCATCCAGACGTGTCCAGAAGCTTTCAGAAGCATCAAAAAGAAGCATCTAGAATCTTCCAGAACAGGTTCACACAGGTTTATTTTACTATATAAGAGACATGTAAACCGACATATAATTCATTCAGTATATAGAAGTCAATCAGTCCGTATTATCAAGACAGTTTGTAGAAGTGAGTGTTTTATTGAAGTGTTTGATCGAAGAACATCAATACAAGAAGTGAAATACAACAAGTGTTTCATTACATCAATACAGTCCACATCCAACCAAGACGTTGTGTTCCACAGAGCATTATTGTATCATCACAAGGTAAATGTAACACAGTAAGCCTTGAGAAGCGTGATTATCATTTTTATGACTTCAAGTGCAAAAATGGCTTCTGACAGTCTTGTATTGGAACTAAGAAAGAAAATTATTGGGGAATACGTAAGTGTAATGTCACAAAAAAGTATTTGTGTTAAATATCGTGTGAAAAAATGGACCATATCAAGACTATGTTCCAATTATCGTTCTACGGGGAAGTTGGCTGCAGATAACAAAGGTGGAAGACCGCGTTCCACCACTTCTAGAGAGGATTCTATGATTGTCAGATCCATCAAGAAGGATCCCTGGATATCATCAGTCGAGATTCAAAAGCAATTAGAGCTGTCTGTATCAGGCCAAACAATCAGACGACGTGCTGTTAAAGGCGGATTGTTTTCTCAATGCCCTGCAAAGAAACTGCTGATTTCACTGAAGAACTAGAAGAAAAGACTCCCGTTTGCTACATCTCATATTGACTGGAATGTGCAGAAATGGTGAACTGTCCTGTTCAGTGATGAATCGAAGTTTAACATCATTAGGAGCAATAGCATTTGCCGTGTACATCAACCGGTCGGAAAATGCCTCGATTTATGTTACTGCCATAAGACCGTGAAGCATGGTGAAGGCAATGTAATGGTCTGGGGGTGTTTTTCTGCTAACGGTCTAGATCCAATACATCAAATCGATGGAATAATGGACCGTTTCATGTATAAAAATATCCTGAAAGATGTTATGTTACCTCATGCTGAATAAAATATGCTAATAAAATGGGTTTTTCAGCAAGACAATGATCCAAAACACACTGCAAAAGTAGTCAAGCAGTGGTTTTTAGACAACCACCTATCGGTGATGGATGGGCCGCCTCAATCTCTGGATCTCAACCCTATCAAGAACCTGTGGGAGATCGTCAACCGCAGAATAATTTGTGAAGGTGTTCGTAATAAGGATCAACTGTTTGAACAAATCCAAAAGGCCTGGGCAGCGATTCCACAAAGTTTCATTGATAACTTGATTGAATCTATGCCTCGAAGATGCAAGGCTGTGATCGACAACAAAGGATTTGCTACGAAATATTGATAGTGAAATACAGCTTGATCAACATTTTGTGGAGTTGCACTTGTTTTGTCCAGAAGGAAATCAACTTTTTTTAATACTTTTGATTAATTTATTAATTTTCGTGTACAAATAATGAACTTTGTGATGAATAAAATTTGAAGAACGTTGTCCCTAAACAGTTACATAGTTATTTCTCTAAATTGAAAAAATGTAGCACTTTTATATAAAGAAACTAAATTAGCATTAATTAGTTGCACTTGTTTTGTCCGATACTGTATATATATATTCATATATAAAAAATCCACTTATAAATGGTTATATACAAACATCAGTAAATGTAAACATCAGTACTACTGGCAGTTGGTAAGTTGAGTTAGCCATGGAAGTATTATAGATGGAAGTGCAACGCTATTGAAATTCCTAAAACCATGAGTGAAATCTTTTATTCATAATACAAGAAAAAGTCTTAAACAGTTTCACTTAAGTTAGACTTCTGAAGTATGTAAAAAAAAACTCTTTAACTATAATTTTTTGATAAATACTCTAAATCAGTCAAATTTTTTCGATAAAAAGAGTTTGAGGTTCACCTTGCAGATTTTTATATTGTGTTTTGATATCAAAAAAAAATAAATATAATAATCAAAATAATAATAATAATTGTTAAAAGTTTATGCAATTTATGAAAAAATATTATTTGTATATAATATATAATACATACATATATAAAAAGTTCTAAAAAAGTTTTAAATTTTACTTAATTAGAGTTTAAAAAATTTACTTCGATTATAAATCTAAATTAACAATAAAATAATTTAAAATTGACCAAAACTATTTAAAAAAAAAAAAAAATTAAGTGCCCAGTTAAATTTAAGTGTCTCTATTTATCAAAAAAATTTTTTTTTTAACTAGAACCCAGAATCTAGAACAAGAATCACAAACCTTTAAATCACAAGAATATCAAAATAAAATAAAACTCTGAAGTGATCCTTTGGAGATGGAGATAAAGAAATCAAAGCCATTTCTCGACTTGAATTGAAATTAATAATTTTGATTAATCTGCTGTCCCATAAAAAGTGATTCCCATCTCACTACACCACTGGATTTAGGTATTTCTTATCCGTCAACAACTTTTAGAACATTTTAATGAGGTGGCAGCAAATATTTATCAAAACTTTTGTTTTAAGAACCAGCTAATAGAGTTGCACAATAAAGAAAAAGATAGACAACAATAAAAAGCAAAACCACAAAATTTTATTTAAATTCCTATACTGAATTTGTTTAACAAAAGCTAACTTTTAAGTATACAAATAAATTACAGGGGCGGATGCAGGATTTTTTGTGGATGTTGCCTGTTTTTTTATTGAGTTTCCAAAATAGTTGGCGATATTTTTTTTGTAAACCCCTTCCCGGTGTTAGCGAGGGAGGGGGGGGGAGTTCAAAGCGGCATCAGTACTTTATTATTACTTACCGGGTATTGTTTTCAATTACCCATATAAAACAAAACTAACAACAATGTTGCCTTGGCTATTCTGTTCATAAATTAGACATTTTTTACTTGTCTAATTTATTTAACTAAGTGCACCAACGAGAAGGTAAGCCATAGGACTTTGCACTCCATCTGTAAACTGTCATATGG